CAATGTAATGAATAATACTCCTTTGTTAAAGAACTCAAATAAGAGTGAGTTCAATTTGTTTTCTATAAACAAAGTAACTTACTAACTATATATATTTTACCTGGATATGGCTCTGTTTGCATTATATCAAGTTTTTGCAAGGCAGTATCTCTGTATTTCAAGATATCAGGAATGATAATGCCAGGCTTCTGGGCTTCTTTTTCAATATATCTGAAGATACAGCATGTGTCCACCATAACAGCAGTTAGCCATGCTTGCACTCCTGTTGGTTGCCACAACTTTAAAAATCCTTTTGCAGACGATACCTCCTTGGTATTATATTCTCGAGGAGCATCACAAATCTTTTGCCAGTGCTTTAAACATTCATCTAAATTGAATAGTATCGCTCCACAAAGTTGAACAAGATGTTGAGCAAACCTTACCTCATGATGAGGAGGAAAACTTCTCATGTCTGGTTTTATGGTCTTCAACTCCTTAGTCCTTAGGCCTGATGTGCGGTAATAAGTAGCTACTCCTGTTACATTGGAAAGCCAGATTTTCAGTTCAGGTACCAACCTAAGACATTATAAATGTTAACATTAATATAGCCTTATAATTTATTTTTTTATCTTTTTTTGCTCCGGGCTTCACTTAAAATCTCTTTTGTGAGTGGACTTTCTAATGAAATATTGTAATCATTATTTTATTATTATTAATTTATTATTATTATTACCTCATCACATCTTCCATTGCTAAGTCTGATCGGTGACATGCACACCAGATATTTCTTGTTGAACGACCAACATAATTTTCAACTCTAGCCCACAGTCCAGAATCCTTACCAGTGTTTGCAGACTCTCCATCGGTGCTCATCCCAACAAATTTTGACTGCAAACATTCTTTAGAAAGGCCCATGTCATCAAAACAGTTTGTCATGGCAGAACACAAACCTTCAGCACCACGCTTGGTACTTTCCCTTGCACTTGCAAATCTTGTCTTAATAAAAAGAGGGTCCTCGGGTGTATTGAATCGAACAAATATAAATTTCTTATCTTGTTACCTAGCATCGACAGAACCATCCATTTGTGCAGCAAAACAAATACAATTCTGGAGTTCTTCTCTAAGGTGCTTTCTCTCTGTATCTCCTATTATCTCCAACATTTCTGCATAATGCATTGGATCCCTATAATGAAGTTCCTCTCCTCTTGGTTTAAACGGGGTAAAACTTTGTACGTTGTCACTGTCAGTTAAAGACCTAAACTGTTGTTGTGCATGTAAATTAGCAAGAGATCTACCTGGCCATGACCAGGCAGCTAAAGTCAAAGATTTACTGTCATTATAGACCTCTACTGCCATTTCAGTCAAGGTCTTCAAAACTGTTGGATTTTTGTTGCCAAGTTAATAAATGGGTGACGTTTGTCTTTGGCATTCCACAACTTGGATAGCTGTTTCTTTTCTTGAGCTGCTCTATGTGAAGGCCCCAGTAGATGATCAATTACATCTTGTATCTTTTTCTTCCCATCACAACGCACACCTTGTGCCATGTACAATCTACCATTAGCTGAAAAGCGCTTTGCTTCCTCTTCGAATTCACCACAGATGCAACACTTGACAAAAACCCTAGCTTTCTGGCGATTCTGCGTTGAAACTCTACTTCGTTCATAATATTGAGATAGTACACCATCTCCAAATTTTCCTAGAAGTGCTTTTAGGTTTAATGGGTAGCCTCTGTAATACTCAGTAGTGGTTTCAGCAGTCATTTGCGTTGACGATGTGTTTGCTGTGCTTATTGGCAAACCAACGTCACTTGTTGTAACCAAAGTAATGCTGTTTATATTTGCAGAGCTTGTTGACGATAAGGTCGAAGGTGTAGTATTGCTTGGAATATTATTCGAAGGAGCCCGTGTATGAACAAATTGAACATTACCTTCCTTATCTGAATTTCGAATATCAAAATCCACTTCATTCAGTTCATTGTCTTTACGAGGTTCTCCTTGGTCAGTGCCTCCAGTAGCTGCAGTGCCTTGTACTTCGCTTTCCACTTCAATTGGCGCCATATTTAATAATTGTTCTGACTCTTTCTCAACGTTTGTATCGCACGATGTCGATGACGATGTTCTTGCATTTTCGTTCTTTGTGAAGAAATCCGATACCTTTTTGCATTTACTCGCTTCTTGTTTTAACAGTTTTTCAATATTCGCTTTTCTTTTATTTGCATACGGCATTTTTAATACTAATAATACAAACAAAGGCAAGCAATTTGCATGTAAATTTTGATGTAAATTATGTTTTTGAAATTCCCAACTAAGCTTCCCGAATATCCCGAGATTTCCCCCAAAATCCCAATGTTCCCACTTTCGTTCCCAGTCCCACTTTGAAAAATATTTTTTTGCAGATCGAAATTTCCTATTTGACTATTTTTCAATTTTTCATTGTCCAGAAAGGGAAGGCAAAGGAATAGCAGAGATTCTGCGAAAGGAATACTGGAATAAGGATTAATTATGTTGTCCAATATTGACTTTGGGAGTTATTTTCACACCAAAAAATATGAAAAGGGACTTTCTACTAGGGGGGACAAAATTGCCGACTGGGGGGGCAGTAAGGGGGGCTGGGGGGGGCCATGTCCCCCCCAGTTTTTATGTTAAAAGAGGCCCTGTCTCGAAGTGAAATTCGCTTACGGGAATTTTTGCTTTCAAGATTTTCAAGAAATGTTTTAAAAAGTTGCTGAATTGAGAGCGGTGACTAAATTGAGGGAAAACTGGATCGTTTAGCCAGATGCTAGCTTTATACCTTTAAGTCAAGTTTCCATTTGGTCGTTAGTTGTCGCTGGCACGACAAGCCGTAGATGTGAAATAGTCTAATACAATAATAGTCTTTTTGTGTGTTATATGCAAATCAGTCTTAATAATTGCAAGGTTTTATAAAGTTTTGTTGACACTCTATTACATCAGCCACTTGTCGTGCAAGCGACAACTAACGACCAAATGGAAACTATAGGCTTTAATGAATACTGAACGGGCAACACGTTATGGCTTTTTAATAGCTTGATGGATCATTAACGGGGAAATTATAGTTGAGTAAGAAAAATTCTGCATGCTGATAAAGCAATTAAGGAACAAGCCCCATAACATATATACGAGTGTATAAAAGGCAGGGGCGCACATTAGGGGGCGTGTGGGGGGGTGTGACACCCCCCATGTTTTGTGAAATAGATCTAAAAAGTCGGTCCCAAAACCTGAATGGGACGACAAAGTCGGTCCGGCTAAAATCTGAAAGATATTATCATTTTGTGTCGAAAAAAGTAATAGGTGGACATTCTGGAAATGGAAGTTGCATAAACATAAGAAAGACGAATTAGACAAAGAAAAACAAATTAGACATACACAAATTAGAGTTCACTGACACAAACCAAGAGAGCAACTAATCAACTTCCATGTTACAACAGTTCAACCAACGTAATGCGATCCGATTACCTCAAGCCCCCGCGGTGCAGTTAATATGTGCATTGTTAGTCTTGTCGTAAAAGCGGAAACTTTGGAAGGCAGAAGTATATCAGCGGCGTAGCCAAGATGGGGGCTCGGGGGGTTCTGCAATGGGCATAAGGACTGCCCTTGTGGAAAGCTGAAATCCGGGCAGAAATTGGGGTGGGGGTACGATGTGCGAATAATGATACCCATCTCTTCTGTTTGCCAATAAAAGTTGAAGTCTTCCCTACCTAGAATCCTAACTCCAGTAAAAAATGCTTATGGTTGCTTTAAAGCACATTTGAACTTGAATTTGCGCTCAAGGCGATACTCAAAAAGGCGATACACAAAAACGAAGACATGATGCTATTTTGCTGTTGTATTTGCGTGTACAATACTATGTTTTACATAAATATTTTTTCGATCTAACAACATTAGGCGACTTAAAAATGTCTTTTTGTGGTTGTAACTTTTCTTCAAACCTCGTCCTAAAATACGTGAAATAGCGTTCTAATGAATCTAGAAATTCAAAATTTTCCTCGCGCCTACGGCGCTCGCATTCGAAATTCATAAAAATTTTGTCCCCCCCCCCTTCCAAAGGTTTAGACCACTGCAAAAGTTCGGTAAAAACTGAACGTTTATTGAAACTCTATACATAAATATTTTTTCGATCTAACAACATTAGACGACTTAAAAATGCCTTTTTGTGGTTGTAACTTTTCTTCAAACCTTGTCCGAAAATACGTGAAATAGCGTTCTAATGAATCAAAAAATTCAAAAATTTCCTCGCGCCTACGGCGCTCGCATTCGAAATCCATAAAAATTTTGCACTCCCCCCTTCCAAAAGTTTAGACCACTGCAAAAGTTCTGAAAAACTGAACGTTTATTTAAACACTTGGAATGCTATCCCCGTCTTACCGTCTATGCGCTTTAAATAGTTGGCTTTTCTTACCAAACACAAATACTACAAAAGTCGGTCCCAGAATATAGGACACCCCCCAAAATTTTTTTCGAATGTGCGCCCCTGATAAAAGGCAGTAATTAAGTGAAACCTTGCAACGCAGCAATACGACACACTAGCAAACATGTTACACTTCAATGCGAGCAACGATTCCTTCCCAACAACTTGCGCACATAACATTTGGAATGAACGATTTATACTCCATATGACAATGGACATGAAGAACCGGATTTTACTCATTACGTTCAATGCTTTACTGATCGTTTCCACGGAATTCCTAAACCTGCTTTCCCTAATAACGATCAGAAAATCATCTCAACTAAAGAACATGAAACTTTGCTACTGTGTTATACAAGTTCAGTCCGCCTTCGATTTTTTTGGTGGAGTTTTAGGTATACCGTTATTCATTATCTCCTAACTTCGCCGTTCTTGGATATTGAAAATTGCCTTGCCTTTCACCTGTTATTTGTATCCATGCTTGTATTTTCTTCACTGGCCCCTGTGCCTTTATCTGCAATGACGTTGGAAAGGTACATTGGTGTATTACACCCATATTCCTATCAAACACTTGTGACAAAAAAAGAATATTATTCTATGTAGGAGTTGCTGGCTCCCTGTGTGCTGCGCATGCAAGTATAATGTTTTATGGTCCAAGGATGAACATAATTGTAGTAATGATTATATTTTTTCTGCTTATTGCACATGCGTATACAAGAATATATCTTGTTGTTAGAAAGTTAGATCGCACGGAAAACAGACCCGCTGGCAGTGAACAAAAATATAATCAAGGTGGAAGAAGACGTCTTTTTAAGGAAATCAAGCACGCAAAATCCTGCTTTATTGTTGTTATCTGGATGGTGTCTTTTTGTTGCCTTCTTCTCTTATCACTCTTTTTGCTGCCCTCGGAGTAAACCGCGGAGTCTACATTTGTTGGTTATTTACGTTATATATCTTAAATTCAAGTATCAATTCGTTGACATTCTTTTGGACCAAGACATTGTTGAGAACAGAAGCATGGAAAATCCTAAAATTCATGTCTGGATTGTATCCAGACATCAAAAGTTCTTAAGACTTTCTCATGAAAATTTGTACCTTCTCACCACAGAATGGACGTAAATTTATTCTAAAAACTTTCTTCAACCCATATTTCTGATTGTCTATTAAAGGTCTTGACCAACAGTTTGCATAAACTTATAACTTTACGAATTGCGGGCAAAAAATGAATAAGTTATCCTGTTAGAATACATTTTACTTGTTTTACTGAATTAATTTGACATTGTCATTATAAAAATAAATGTTAGCGTGCATGAAGGTAGCATTGTAGAACTGTTTGCCGTCTACTTTGTTACTCCATTGAACTGTAAAGGCCCACACAGACCGGACGCGTTTGGCAACGCGACGCGAATTTTCAATTTTCAATAACATTTAACTGTAATATTTTTCTACGTTTTTCAAATATTCGGAACCACTTAAGCAATTTTAGCTATTTGGTCGGCATATATCTTGTAAAATTTTTATCCGCTGACGGTTTTATTTGGTTTTAAAAACTGAAAATTCGCGTCGCGTTGTCGAATCGCGTCCGCGGTCTGCATGTATATGGGCCATAGTTGTAGGTGTTATAATATAGTAATACAGTTGATGTTCTTGGACATGCATACATATGTTTTTGGCTTAGCTAACTAAGAGGCCTTAGAGATCGAGGTTTTGCAATATTAATATATGTGTTCATTCTAAAATATATCAATCACAATGTCATTAACTGTTTCAATACATTTAAGTATAATATATCATTAATATTACATATTTTAAATTGGTAAAGAAAGTTACAGCTTGAGTCTATATACATTAACTGTGTGAATTTTATTCCTTAAATATCTCGTTTCAATATTCAATACGGCGCATGCCAGGAAGCTCAATATTACCTCCGAAACATTAACGCTGGACAGGTGACATTTTATTATACAGTACAACAATTGAAATGAAAATTATATAAAACGTTTAATGAGTCGGTAGTCCCGAAGGAATCTTAACAATTATTTAATTCAGCCTAAAACTCATTTTGCATTTTTGAGTTAGCTACTTCATGATTGACATACGCGCTTTCAACTATTGTTTAAACTTTTTAGTCACCACAATTGAACTTTGTAACAGGTTACCATCATATATTAAAATATCTTACTCTTGAAAGAAAGATGGAATTTATAAAAGGGAGGTTTGATATCCTAGTGATTGACCCTTACCTTGCGAATCTTATATATCATGTCTTTTATCTTCAAATGATTCATGCAATGTCTTTTTAAAAATGCTAAACCTTGTGTTGTAAATGCCTTGGATCTTCAACATTTTCCAATGAATAGCATATCCCAGACCCAAAAGATTTGAATTGTTGGAAAACTAGGTTGAACAACTTTGTAACTTGTGGTATTTACATAAATATGCCATGCAAGTACTTAACTTAAAGTGGCACTTTTATTAAAATTTTTATTTTCTTAAACGAAAATGTTCTTAAAACTGTATAGCAACTTCTTTTGAAGATTTTTGTTCCCATGCTTAGTTTTTGAAATATTTCATTTTGTTTGTAACCATGTGACGTCATTTACAACAACGCCGTCCAAAAAGCAGTTTTAACTTTTGAAAAACGTAGACAAAATCTGATAATTCGTGCAGTCAAATTCTTCAAATTTCTCAAAAATTCTTGTTATGGATAATTTGAGTAAAAATTGGCAGTTGCCTTATGGATAATTTGGGTAAAAATTGGCAGCTCATTAATATTCAATTTTGTGACTGTCGGCGTCCATCCACTGCAAATGCATTTTGAAACCTATATACTCGTCTGGGGATCAGGATGTTCCAGCGAGTACGTTCATGCAAATTACTAATGAATAAGTTATCCTGTTAGAATACATTTTACTTGTTTTACTGAAATTTTCAACTTTCAATAACATTTAACTGTAATATTTTTCTACGTTTTTTCAAATATTCGGAACCACTTAAGCAATTTTAGCTATTTGGTCGGCATATATCTTGTAAAATTTTTATCCGCTGACGGTTTTATTTGGTTTTAAAAACTGAAAATTCGCGTCGCGTTTTCGAATCGCGTCCGCGGTCTGCATGTATATGGGCCTTAGTTGTAGGTGTTATATAATATAGTAATACAGTTGATGTTCTTGGACATGCATAAATATGTTTTTGGCTTAGCTAAGAGGCCTTAGAGATCGAGGTTTTGCAATATTAATATATGTGTTCATTCTAAAATATGTCGATCACAATGTCATTAACTGTTTCAATACATTTAAGTATAATATATCATTAATATTACATATTTTAAATTGGTAAAGAAAGTTACAGCTTGAGTCTATATACATTAACCGTGTGAATTTTATTCCTTAAATATCTCGTTTCAATATTCAATACGGCGCATGCCAGGAGGCTCAATATTACCTCCGAAACATTAACGCTGGACAGGTGACATTTTATTATACAGTACAACAATTGAAATGAAAATTATATAAAACGTTTAATGAGTCGGTAGTCCCGAAGGAATCTTAACAATTATTTAATTCAGCCTAAAACTCATTTTGCATTTTTGAGTTAGCTATTTCATGATTGACATACGGGCTTTCAACTGTTGTTTAAACTTTTTAGTCACCACAATTGAACTTTGTAACAGGTCACCATCATATATTAAAATATCTTACTCTTGAAAGAAAGATGGAATTTATAAAAGGGAGGTTTGATATCCTAGTGATTGACCCTTACCTTGCGAATCTTATATATCATATCTTTTATCTTCAAATGATTCATGCAATGTCTTTTTAAAAATGCTAAACCTTGTGTTGTAAATGCCTTGGATCTTCAACATTTTCCAATGAATAGCATATCCCAGACCCAAAAGATTTGAATTGTTGGAAAACTAGGTTGAACAACTTTGTAACTTGTGGTATTTACATAAATATGCCATGCAAGTACTTAACTTAAAGTGGCACTGTTATTAAAATTTTTATTTTCTTAAACGAAAATGTTCTTAAAACTGTATAGCAACTTCTTTTGAAGATTTTTGTTCCCATGCTTAGTTTTTGAAATATTTCATTTTGTTTGTAACCATGTGACGTCATTTACCACAACGCCGTCCAAAAAGCAGTTTTAACTTTTGAAAAACGTAGACAAAATCTGATAATTCGTGCAGTCAAATTCTTCAAATTTCTCAAAAATTCTTGTTATGGATAATTTGGGTAAAAATTGGCAGCTCGTTAATATTCAAATTTGTGACTGTCGGCGTCCATCCACTGCAAATGCATTTTGAAGCCTATATACTCGTCTGGGGGCAGAATGTTCCAGCGAGTAATTATGTTCATGCAAATTACTCTTTTTTTACGAGGCTGCACGACTTTTTCGTAAATGCACATTTGTGACTGATGGGGCACAACTGATGGGGAACTTTTGCATTTGTGCTTTCAAATAACCTAATATTTCAAAACCTATCCTCAAATTGCAAATTTGGACAGCATGAAGACAAATTAATGATTTATCTTATTAAAATACAGGTATTTGAAATTCTCGTATATTAATTTAATTTGCGCTGGATATATTTTGGCTGAATTTGCTTCAGTACAATTTTTCAAGCGGAGTGGTGGCTAAATTGAGGGAAAACAGGATCGTTTAGCCAGATGCTAGCTTTATATCTTTAATGAATACTGAACGGGCAAATCGTAATGGCTTTTTAATAGCTTAATGGATCATTAACGGAGAAAGTAGTTAAGTGAGAAACAATCTGCATGCTAACAAAGAAATTAAGGAACAAGCCCCATAATACGAGTGTATAAAAGGCAGTAATTAAGTGAAACCTTGTAACGTATAGCAATACAACACACTAGCAAACATGTTACACTTCAATGCGAGCAACGATTTCTTCCCAACAACTTGCGCACATAACATTTGGAATGAACGATTTATATATTACGTCACGTGGTTTCAAACAAAATGAAATACCTCAAGAACAAACTATGGGAACCAATTTTTTCAAAAGAAGTTACTTTGCAGTCTTAGGAGTTCTTTCGTTTGAGTTACTTTGCAGTCTTAGGGTGTGGAAAAATACGCAGTTACTCTTTAGGCTTGTACATACTTCTTACCTTTTCTACGTTTTCCCCATGTACTTTTTAAATCATTATTTGTTCCTAATTAATTGAGAAACCGTTAGTGATTTCTTTCTTGACTGTGCCAAATTACAACAATGAATACACAATTTGAATTGATGTGCAATAAATGTTTACCATGTATCAGGGTTTATCCTACGAAAATTTAGAACTGCTCAATATTTCGACAAGAACAGAGTGCGAGGTAGTGAACTAACTGCATGGCAGCAACGAAGGATAAGGTCATGGTGTATTGGTTGCTGACTTTGCATAAATTCGTTATCTTATTAAAATGCATTAATTAAAATTCTCCACATATTTTACTTTGGATACATTTTGGCTGAATTTACTTAAATATTTCAAGCGGAGCAGTGGCCATGCAAATTGAGGGAAAACTGGATCGTTTAGCCAGATGCTAGTTTTGTATCTTTAATGAATGCTGAACGGGCAACACCTAATGTCTTTTTAATTGTTTAATTGATCATTAAGGAAAAAATGGTTTAGTGAGAAGCATTTTACATGCTAATAAAGAAATTAAGGAACAAGCCCCATAATATACGAGTGTATAAAAGGCAGTAATTAAGGTTACATTATATGATGAAAACGGCACTGATTTCATCATTTTTTTTCATTTTTATTGATTTATATTCAGGGCTGGAGATCCCTCGATTGCCGCAAGTTTTTTTTCTAAAATATTAAAATGCGACCGAAATATAACAAAAAATGTTATAGCCACTTATTCTTTTGCCGCGAAAGTTGTAATTGTAATTGACAATATGTGGCTTGATGGGATACTCGACACCGGATGTGTGACCTTCAACCTCGCTTGTGTCTTCGTGGTGCACGACAGAGATTGCTCCAACCGGAAATTTGAAGCCAAACTTGAAGCCCAGTCTTTTCACGCATGCGAAGAGTGCTCAATCAGTCAATTATGATATAAACACGCGGGTCAAGATTTGGCTTATCTGAAAGTAGCGTTCCAGTTATATTCATTTCAATGGAACACGCACAGTGAGCTCTGTATATTTATCTGGAGCAAAAATCTGGGGCAAGAAAAACCAGTGTATTTCTTTAAATCGATCCCAAAATACGAAATTTTGGCACACTGCTTGCCAAGATGTCGGAAATTGAAGGAGCAATTGGACGTCAGTTCCAGACTCTTTCTATTGTTTTTGACAGCGCGGTTAACCCAAAGCTGGCTTCACTTTTTGTACTCGAATTCTTGCTCCAGGTATATATGGAGCTCAGTGGGCACGCATAGAAACCATTTTTACAAGATTCGTGATCATGTATGCATTCTATATCTATTAATTGTATGAGTAGAACAGAGGGTGGCCAATTCCCCTTTAATTGACAACAAGAAATAACACATTCAATGCAAGGTTATTAAACACATTATTTTATTTAACTACTGCACTACATCGTACATATTGAAAATCATCAGTACAGAAATTAGATTTTAAGAATAGAAAAGCGTTTGAAAGTTTTATATCAGCGGAAACCCAAGATAAAGATTGAACTGTATTTAATTTCTTCTTCGCATTTAGGAATAATACATTTGCCCTTTTTAGTAGAATCCTCAGCGTCCTCCAAAGTTACAACAACTTCCCCTAAAGAAGAAAGAACTAAGTGAAATTTAACAATAGCTCCAAGGTTCGTACACTTTCATAATTATAGAAATCCAGACCTTTCAAGGACATTTTTTTTCGCTTTTCAGGAGATATTTTTCAGGGGTGGACTCATGTGAACAGAGTCAGTCAACGCTCCGCCGAGAGTCGTGGGTTTTCTCCGGGTGCTCCGGTTTCCTCCCCCAGGGAAATAAGACAGGGCGGGTAAGGATAATCATACTTAGGAAAGTAATATCACAATTGTTGTAAAAACAGTCTACACGGCAAAAAACGCCGAGACCGTTGCTCAACAGGACTGAACAATGTTTTGCTGCCCACGTTGTTCACACTTGTCAACAGTATTGAACAATGCTGTCGAGCATGAATCGGGTGTAACAATATTGTCCAATGTTGTTGACAGCTATGAACAATGTGGGCAGCAAAACATTGTTCAATCCTGTTTTCATCAGTATTGCATCAACCTGAGCGTTTTTTGCCGTGTAGGCTAAGTAGGTAATGCAAGTAGCGTAATACTTGATGTAGTCTGTCACTGAAAGCCCCAATGGGGAGCGAACTGAAAAATACATAATAATAATATTTTATCTCGGATGCGAAGTCTGCCTCTCAAAAGTGCTTTTTGGAGTTTTACAGGGTGCGCGAAAATGCTGGAGGGAGGAATGTTACCCGCCAAGTGTAGGCACCTTCCGCCCCCCCCCTTCTATCCCTTCGTCTTAATTTTCACTTGTATATTTACCAAAAACAAAAATATTGCCGACGTCATTTGAAGGAGTGAGGAAGCTATACCCATAAATAACGTTATAATTGCAGATTTTTGTTTGCTGGATCGAAGCCATCTTAAATCACGAATTGAACCCAAAAATAAGGCAACGATTGGTGCTTACATTGCAATGGCAGCGTTGCAAAAACCAATCCAGCAAAAATACGCATCATTTGGAAGAGCGTAACGCCGCTATATGGTTTTTGCGTCGCTACGCAAGCTATCAGATACAATGTAAATATGGCTATATCCCTTATTCATTCCTTTTGCCTTTTTGCTTATCTTTTAGACAGAAAGCATCTTAAATGGGGGCAACATAGATCACTGGAGTCTCAGTATTCAGGTTAGGAAGGGATTCCAGGGACAAGTTGCCTCCAGTCTATTGCATTAAAAGAGAGCCTGAAAAAAGATGGGAATTGTAATTCCAGGACTGCACGTGAAAAATGCATCCATCGTATCGCTTGTGAAACTGATCTATATATTTTTGTGATTGTTGATGACAGCAATAGCACAGTTAAGTTCACGGGTATCTTTACACAACACAAAAAACTTTTTAATTTGGTTATTTCCCCTGGCCATACCATCATGCATCATGCTTCAAGATGGCGTAGCTAGACATGAAAAGGTCAATCACCTACCGTGGCCTTTAAAAACAGGCAGCCACAAATTGGCGGAGTTGAGAGAAACATCTTTGGAAGCAGCAACATTCATGTATTGGTTGTACAACTGTATGCCATCGGTAGTCTGGATGCGATAGTAATAACGATGAAATGCCTCATCACCCTTTGTTGTGGCCCAGAGATAAACGAGAATTTCCTTAGCTGTATCGGGAACATTGCTTTTGGAAAGCTCGTATCTGTTTGAATTACCGCTTGTGTCAGGCAGTTCACCATAGTAATGTAACTTGTTTTCGGGGAAAGCAGTGTAAGCCATTTCTTAACGTCTTCGTTTGGTCTCTGAAACAAATCAAATCAGTAAACAAATTCATTTAAAAAAACAAATATTTCCTGGCGATAGACCAAAGAGGCTTTTTTTCATATAGGAAAAGGAGAAAAATGTTTTTGACTAGGAAGTAGGAATAAGAGTCCATATAAGGAATAAGAACCAATTAAGAACCCGAAGTTAAGAAGCAGTTAAAGAAGCAAAGCAACAGACGAATAGTATGGTTAATTGTGTAATTTGTAACTCTTTCATATTTTTTCCACTTGAAACCAATCAATGTGAGTCCGACGTCAAGTTACGACGTCAATTGAAACTTATAATTCAGAATGCGAAACATAAATCCAATTATGCTGCAGATTTGAGCCTTGATCACCCCCATCATGCACCAATATTTTTTCAGTCAACAGTCATGGACTGGGTACGTGTCAGTTGCAGATGTACATAATCGAATCTCTTTCCCGAGCCTGCGATTCCTGGATTGTATGTAATTGATTTGGCGACATACGAGTTTTTGGGCATAGGATTAGATTGTATGGTAAGCAAGACGCCAGCTGAGACGTTCACCCCGCTTTGGGGTGGGGGGGGGGGGGG